AAACAGGGAAAATTACAACAACTATAAAGCATGAAATGTTTTCACGTTCTTATTTTTTTTACTAAAGTCAGTGCAAATAGACTAAAGGCTGATATTCACGTTCCCATTTATTTACTCACTGTTACTTAACTCTTGCACTTTATGATGAATTGTGACATTTATCAATCTCCGCCTTCCAATTCTCATAAACAACGATTTTAAGATGACCCCTCATTATTACAGCGACGACGGTTACGAAAAAAAGGTTTATCGACGGCAATAAATCTCCGAAAATCTCGCGACCCGCCATTTTAGCGTGTCAATCTTTTACGGCCTCTGCCCAGACAAAGACAAAGGACATCGCGACATTATGCCATTAAATTTCCACTTGCTATTATTGCCGTCACTTTATTTCGCAAATGTTAAAATTTTTAATGAATTTTTGTTTTTGTTTTTTTAAGCTTAAGACTGCTCAATGTCATGTGTCCGGAATAAAAACTATTTAGATATTAGATAGACAATGCAGACCCCACTACCATGTGGGAATAATAAATGTACCGGAGAGAGAGAGACAGAGATATTAGATAGACAGTGAAGACTGGTGGCTGCGACAGTGGACATGCTATTTTAAGGTTGCCGATTCAATCTCTTAGTTACGTGCACTGGTTAGTTTTCCGCTATTAGAATTTCGTGCACTAATAATTGTTTATCATCATGCAGCATGACTACAAGTCACTGGATCTATCACTGTGTAGATTGTGTTTTATTAATTAAATTTAAGTTTTCCCACACTCCTGTCCCCACGGGTTTTTGGTACTTCATATACATATTCCACACTAGCTGGTGCCCGCGACTACGTCTGCGTAGAATAGGCTGAAGGCGTAACATTTAGACATAAAGACAGATATGCATAAAATATGCATATAAATTATAGCCTTTGTCTTATTCTGATGTATAAGCTATATTATTGTAAAGTTTCATTAAAATCCATTCAGTAGTATTTTGCGTAACAAACATCCGTCCATACATACAAAACTTTCGCGTTTATAATATTAGTAAGGATTCCATCAACTGTTACATACATTCTTATATGTTATTCCCTTAATTAGTTAGTGCAATGATGGACCTAGGCATTACGTTAATATTCAGTGCGTTATGTATTCTACCTTTTGTAGTGTATTGTGATAAGTGGCTCTAAATAATAGAACTAAACCGATTATTATCATAGAAGTTTATTTGAGTTTTATTGGACATAATAATATCTTTACTAGTTACATCTTACGTTTATAATAAAGCGATCAATGGCCCTCGTAAAATCACAATGCAGAGCTATGTAAGAGAACATCTAACCTCCTTTAACTGCATTCGTGTGCGCATTTCATGCATATAATCCGATTGTGTGCGAGTGAGTTTACAATTATAAGCATAGAATAAGTTTTGTTGTACGTAGAAAACAATCGACAGTCAATAGGATATTAGCGTGTTTATTATTAAAATTTAAAACAATAAATTAATATACTTTATCCAAAACTTAAAAATAAAAAAAATAAAAAGCAATTTATTGCAGGCAACTGGCGGTCTTAATATTTGTACAAGTGCATTTGTCGTATTGAACGCGACCGTTAAAATTTCCGTGATTATTTAATAAACGTGTACATACATTATTATGCTCCGGTGAGGAACCGCTTAAAATGGAGGAAAATTTCGAGATCAATGGCTATCCCTGTCAAATTGATGATGTTTAAGACCCGTCATTGCTACCGTATTACCTACTACGACTGTTCTACACACATGTAAGGAACATTCCAACCGAAACAATTACACCCGAACTGAGAACCTACTGGTTTTTTAAGTCGGTTGTCGTTAATACGCAGCGATTTCACACAAATTATCAGATAAATAACCAATTACTATGATTGCTGCCTCTAAGGATCTCCATCCCAGTAATTTGCGAGATCACTTCTCTCGCTAAAAGAACTATTGCTCGATAACCTTTAAAAACGTCCTTAAGATGTTGCAAAAGACAAATCGACTTTAATTATCTCATTAAGACTTTTTTATACAGTCTGTCTTTTGTGCCGCCTCTTCATAAGTTTCGGAGAATGCTTTTGTGATTGTCAGATTTTTACTACAGAATTTATTAAGATTGTTAACTTGAAAAACTTTGCATTCGCTTATAGAAAACTTGGAACATAAAATCGAATCTAGAAACGGATTCATATTATTTTCTTAAATAGCAGTACACACTTATTTTGAACACAAGTATTTTTTTTATTTATCATATTACTCAGATTCTTAAAAAATTATGTAAAATTTTTCAGCTCGCTAACTTTCAGTCGGGCAATAAATTTTCATTACGAGGCTTGTGCATGTAATAAAGTTGATATCACTGAAGCTAGTTGCTGGGCCTTTCACAATCTGATTACACTTTTCCAACCCTGGCTTACATCAAAATCCGGTGCCATATATAATTAAATGTAAACATATTATCGGACGGATAAAATTTGACTCCGGAGACTAAAAATCTGGTATAGTTAGTAATTGGTAGCGGGGCGACATAACGTAGCATGTAATATTATTACAGATCTTTTGTAGAACAGCCCTATAAGTTCGGGCATATTGAAAAGTCCTAAAGTTTACTCTCATGTTGTACAAAGCGATTAAAAAGGAATTTTGGGTTTTTGGGCGACCATGGGGAAGTAGGGTCTTCTGTCTTCCTTGGAATCCTGTCTTAAAAATGATGATCTTTTGAAGGTTTCCTCGCGTTACATTTTATTTGAGAATATTGTAACGAGCCCAATTGATGGACATTTTTTATACACTTTTTACACAACGTTCTCTAGTCCCAAACTAAGATACGCTTGTACTACGGGTACTAGATAACTGATAAACATACTTAAACATACTTATTTTGTAAATAAATTCATATCATACATATCATACATATATAAACATCCAGACACTAGAAAAACATTATGTTCATCACACAATATTTTCGAGTAGTGGGGATCGAACCCACACCCTCTGACGCAGGAGGACATTCGCTTCATAATGATACTTATTTTTAAAACATCTTGTTACATGAATAGTTTAATTTTATTTTTTCCAACCTATAGCGTTTCACAGCTAAAATCTGGGTTAGTCAGCTGCAAAATTAAATGGACTGTACTCATCTACTATGTGCCAGAAGAGCCATGAGCTAAATCTAAGACAACATGGAACAGGTAAACCTACCCCGAAGGAGGTAGGTTAATGAAAATATTTGTGCTAGATACATAGGCGTATATAGTATACTGGGGTGCCTGGGTACTGCCCACCCCAGAATTTAAGGTTACTGATTCGCAATTCAAGGCTGGATACCTAAGAATCTTCATAAAATTCATTGAAATCAAATAATTATCTACAGCCGAGAAATCTATGTACATCTGTGTAGATAGTTTTCACATTCCGTTTATTTACTTATGAAGACACAACGTACTCACAACTAATTAGTTAATACTACTATTATAAATTAATAAAAATTCTTAACGATAACAAACTGTTATTTTTTTAACGCAGACGATAGAGTAACGTCCTATACAAAGGATAAGAGTGTTCTACCCTAACACTGAAACATTATGCGCTTGTCATTACAACAACATTACAAATCAATTGACTCATTAAATTACTAATACAGTTAATAAGATCGGCCTTTTAAATTATAAATTATTATTAAGCATGGTTTATTATATAATATTATACCAGATATGGTTCAATGTTTATTGAGTATTATTGTTATTGCTCGTATATTAAGCAGTATTGCAAGTGAATTGTAACACGGTAGAGAATATTATAACATAAGTATCCCTGCACTATTCCCAACAGTAGGACTCGTACAATCTCAAACCTTAATAATAATCATCAATAGTAACAATTTTCATGTCTCAATTCACAAACTGTTGAGACAAATCCAAAGCCATAATTTGCATCTTTTAAAGACAAATTATCGTAATGATTGGGCTATAATCGTTCCTTGTGCTGTGAATTCCGTCAAATACAGTTTTTGTTGATATGTCTTAAGTTGAACGCTACAATTAAGACAAGTACTGGAGACCGCTATGCGAATAGCTAATGAAACGGGCTTGGGTTGATATCTAAGTAAGGTTGTATGATTTGATATTAATGGACGACATAAACCAAGGATGCATTGTTGTGTGTTGAATCGTATTTTTGTGTTAGCAAACAATTATTTTATATTTCCTTGGCTGCAGTCGGACTTCCGAATAAGGTGCAGACACCAATGAAACGTCAATTACTTTGAGGATAATAATATCTTGGATATTAGTATTCAGCTAATCTTGAAAGACTAAAGACAGCCTCCAGCGCTCAACAAGTAAGCTGTGTGTATGAATAAAAGACACAATTAACTTTGATAACTTTAATAACTTTATTTCTCACCACATCGGTTTGTACAATTTATAGAATATAGAACTAAATTTAAAGTTCAAAGCAATGTGGGAGATAAATTGTGGGAACAATCCATGACAGCGAGTTCCAGTTCTCCGTCCTATGATGTAAATACTGACGTAGTAGCCACTCAAGGACTCGTCTTTAGTTCGCTAAGAGAACCTTGGACCCTGTGGGAATCAAAACATTGACCCGTGGTGTCGAGTTAAAGAAAAAGATCAGTTAATGAGAGCTCTGACGACATTAGCGATCGATTAACGTTTTCAAGGTTCCGTACCCAAAGGGTAAAACGGGACCCTATTACTAAGACTCTGCCTGTCCGTCTGTCTGTCTGCCTGTCCGTCTATCACCAGGCTGTGTCTCATGAACCGTGATAGGTAAACAGTTGAAATTTTCATGCATTACTGTTGCTACTATAACAAAAAATACTAAAAAACAGAATAGAAAAATATTTAAAGTGGGTCCCATACAATGGACACATTTTTTTTTGCCGTTTTCAAAGGTCGAGTCGCACTTGGCAGGTTTTTTAACCCTTTATTACTATACGCTACTGCAAAATACCTTCTGGCACTCACCTGGCAACCGGTCTCCACGTCGGCGTAGTAGCCAGAGGCGCGGCCCTGGCACGTGAACCTCGTCGGCGGGGGCTTCACGACTCGCCTCTCTTTCTGGGAACGGGTAAACAATAAATCAGCATCACATCTATAATCTGAGGGTGGATTGATACTTATATAGTGTCTCCCTTTAATATGGGAGAAATTATATCTCGGCGTTTTATCTTCAGCAATTTGATGCATCTTTATTAAGAAGTTAAAAGATATTTATTCATCAAATTATAACAACAACTGTCTACGTTTTTTAAGGTTAAAAAACATAAATGTTTTTTTTTTGGGTTTTGCTTACGAAAAAGGTTTTTAAACTTTGTATTCTTATGAAAGTTTAAAAAATATATTATTCATATCATTGCTAAAGATGTCGAAACTTTTCATGTAGGCCTATAATGTACCTATTTTTTAACTAGAATGTCTCTTATTCCCGCCAGGGTTTGGAGATTAAAGATCTAATTAACTCTTTTGTTAGACGTCATATCGTTTAATAAAATATAAATCGAATTTCTCTTTGAATTTTGCATAGAAATATAAGTAAAAAAAGTTTCGTTAAAATTTTGGGGTCAAGCGAATTGTATAATTTTGCTTGTCGAAAGGCCTCCAATAATATTCGAAGTATTTGTCCGCAACCTTTATTATTGATATAGAGTTGATAAGGTAAATCGAGTGATTCTTTGCAAGGCCCTCATTTAGCGGCAAGTGTCTATTGTTTACTTCTAAACGCGAATCGTCGTGGGGAGACAAAAAGCAATTTAATATTACAATGTCTTGTTGACTGCCATTTGAAAATGGAACACACTGTGAAATATTATTGCGATTCCGTGGTCCCATTGCTAGGCAAAGGCCGTCTTAACGTTCTGCCACATATCTCGAATTGGAGCCATCTGGTCCTAACTCATTTTGTGCTATCTAATATATCATACAATGATGTTTAATATTATAGATAACTCATATCCATACTACACGACGTTTAAACCTAAATATACCAGTATTAAATAAGTGATTTATAATAAGGGAAAACAATACAAAAATACATTTACACTAAAGTTTTTAAGTAAGTCGTATTTATTGATTGTTTTTAATTTGTAATTTACAATAATTTAATTACCAAAAAAACGAACATGAATGTTCTGATAAATATGATTACGGCAAATGACAAGTGACATGTCAGATTCTAGGAAAAAGATTAGTTACAAATCACAGACAATAATTCATGGGAAAAATATACAATATAATAACAATATATTTTGTCTTCGTTTGCATGAATTATTGTTTGCGTATAGAGTATGGTTTATAACAACCTACTTATTTACATTGTATCTATTTATTGTCGTAGCCCAAAGTTTTCCTCCAAATTTCAGGTTTTGTTTGAAATCTTTCAATTAATATTTTTGTGATGAATTAATATAGTAAAAAATCATTGAGAAATCTTAATTTACTTATATCTTCGTCAATGTCATTTTACTTGTATCTGCGTCAATTCTTAAAATCGCTGAAGCTTGACAAGCTGACCTTTTACTTAAAAAAAATAAAAACCTTTAACACGAGAGAAATGAGATATATAATTATATTCTTTGAGCTATCTAAACTGTGGAATAGACACACCTCATAGCAAAAGGTTTTTAAGGTTCAATATAAGTGGAATGAGCAAGTTGTATATGTATTTACCTATGTCTTATTTTTAATCTATGCTCAAGGCGTACGTCATTAAGTTCGCGCGCATTCTGGGAACGCTCCGTTTCAGCGGGCGATTTAATTAAATTTCACAACGCCATTGTTGTAATATCACACGTGATTGTTCGTGGATCTCATTACCTATGCACGGGCGGCTAATTAATGTTTGTGAATTCAAATGGAGGCGATGACGATTGCAACGTTTTGCGACAACAGTTTTTCTGGTGGGAACGGCGAATTGCGCCTTATCTCAATGATATAATGTCGTTTATTGTTCATTAAATAATCATAGAATACCATTCTGATTTTATACGGTACTGAAATCTGCAATTTAAACTGATGTCATGAACAAGCCAGAATCTATATTATATATTTCTGTACGCATATCATGGATCTAACTGCACCTATCTAATATACGTTGATTATGTTGTTAAATGGTATATATATGTAGCATTTTGTAATATTTTAAAATATTTTTTGTTCTGTTATTTAGTATTTGTTGTTATTACGGCAACAGAAATCAACTGTCAAAATGTCAACTGTCTTACATCACGGTTCATGAGATACAGCCTGGTGACAGACGAAAAGACAGACAGACAGCGAAGTCTAAGTAATAGGTCCCATTTTACCCTTTGGGTACGGAACCCTGAAAAGTCTACTTTTAAAGTTCGCCTAATTGCTCCGAATAAGACTTTTTTTTATTAAACAAAACATGCAAACAAACTACGCGAACGCGGTCGCGTTAGGAAACAGATTGGCAGTGTAACTATAGTTAATTAACTCTACAATTACGTTTCAGGTCCAAGCGGCAGCATCCTGGGTACTCTGGCAATGCATTGCGCAAGCCGTTACGTCACAAGCGATCGGGATATGCGGGGCATATCCCGATCGCTTGTGAATTAAAACTAGCGACCACAGTTCACTATAGGATGAGGGCGAAAGGTCTGACGAAAATAAAGGTAAAGTATCTTCTACTCTACGCTGCTTAGTAACGTTCTTTGGAAATTACACTGCGTAACAGTCGGTATTCAACTTCGGTTATATAAAAACATTACTTTTATACCCGTGGCGCTACCCTCGTGAAAACTTATTGAATTACATATGGAACTTTGCACTGTGTGGATATTGATTAGAAAGTTCCTAACTAAGGTACCTCTCGCGCCTAATAAGTGAAAAGCTCTGCATTTAAGATGAAAGAAAATTTTGTAGAAAAACCGGGCAAGTGCGAGTAGGACTCGCGCATGAAGGGTTCCATACCATTATCTATAAAAACGGCTAAAAAATCATGTTTTCTGTATGGGAGCCCCATTTAAATATTTTATTATTCTGTGTTTTTCTTATAGAGGCAACAAAAATACATCGTCTGTGAAAATTTCAACTGTCTAACTATCACGGTTCATGAGATACAGCCTGGTTACAGGCGGACAGACAGACAGCGGAGTCTCAGTAATAGGGTCCCGTTACTCTTTGGGTGTGGAACCCTAAAAATTGACGAAAAGGTTTTCGCGATTGCGGGAATCGAACCCACGGCTCTGATAATACTAAAAAGAATGCAATTGCAGCCGTTTCTTTGAAGGAATTGGCTCATAGTGCATCTGATCACGCTACACTGTGGCAACTGGAAAACTTGCCGTCGTTGACATCTCCTTACGAACGGATGAACCCGAGATTGCGAGAGTTCTAACCTTCGGATCTATTAATAACGCACGCGTAGTTATCAACTTGCACATATTCTTGGGCAGTACAAAACAACCGCATAATGTAGGCCACTTATATTAAAGGTTATTCGTGGAATATATACTCGTCCTCCGATTTGGACCACAGATAAATTATTCAGTAGAACAAAGAGAAGCACAGTTCATATTTGATGTTTCGTTCAACGCTGCGGTCTCGCATAAATTGACTTGCGCCGTTACAATTGTGAAATTAAATACTTTTTCCATTTAAACATACCTCCCAACAGTATAATAGCATCTGTATATTATACTGTACATATTTTATATATATATATTTTTCTAGGAACAATTTTTATTCTCAGCGCTAGTCTCTGCACTCAAGGTAAAATTTACAAAATTGGAGAAAAATGGAAGCGAAAAGTTTATGCACGCATAAACATGTACACATATTTACTATACAAACTTCTGCAAGTGTGGTCCCACCTAAAAAAAAACGTGATAAAATAAATTTTCTTTATGTTAACAATCACACAAGCCACACGTCACCTAGTTCTTGTCAGGACTTAATGATAATTCTGCGAAACTTTAATAGTCCAGCTGCCCCACTACATTCAAAGACACGATGTGTCCCGACCGGGTGGTTTGATTACTTCGAAGAATACCATTATTAAACAGCGGAGCCAACCTTCTTAAAGCAATTTACGTGAGGCTTTGCGCACTCCAAGAGGTTATTTGCCTGTCTATACTGCCAAAAGCTCGGTGCAGACGTGGCAATTATAAAATGTAGAGCGGTTCTTCCCACGACCTTTGCATGACCAAACTTTATGGCATTTGCGCAACATAGTTTTAACTGCACAAATCTTTGATACAATACGTTTTAAAATAAATGATCTCATCGATCCAGGACAGACGTCTCACCCGCTTTCATGAGCAGTATATAAAAAAACGGTCATTGTAGATCATATACGGTCAGTATCACTAAAGTGAAAAACCTTCTCAACATTTTTTCCACAATTTTTTTTTGTGGTGTGTAGTTTCCTGTTAGCCTTTGCGGCGGCTTTGACTTTTAGCTTCGGCGGAAGAGTTCCGCGGGCAGGCGGCCCGCGGACTTAGGAGAACAACGTAGCTGGTGCACGAAAACGACACAAAGACGTCACTGCACTGTCACTGCACACCACAACACCCTGCTAACGAAAGATGGACAATTGACTTACAGGGGGATTCCTCCATACTTCTTCCTTAGACTACTCTTCTCGCAAAAACTATGTATTCAAACCTTATTTTATCATCGGGTCTTAATGACCTTGCCGAAGGAATATAGCACAAATCTCCCATTTGTATTACTCAACCAAATTACAGGGATCAGCCCGACCAATAAGCCGCTACATTAAAAACCCCGTCGCCTCTCGACACCTTGTAAGGTATGACATGTCGTCGCGTATCGTTCCACGGGTGACACATTACTCATCCGAATTATCCAAATTTATGGTAATGACACAAACGTCTGTAGATGCTTGTTCACGCTTTCAAGTTTTTATCTTTATTCGTAAAACGTTCAATTTAATATGTAAAGTGATAAAACATACGCAACCTGATTAATGGACATCAATATTGTCTTTAACTAAACGCTAAGATGGAATACCTAGTTCATAATAGTTCATCACTTAACATTAATATTTGTTATAATAACAATTATCTAACTGTTAACTT